AGGCGGGAGGGCGCCAGGCGAGAGGCTTTTTGGCGCGAGTGTTAATCCAGGATGAAAAAACCCCACCCCAAACCCACACTGCAGTCACCCATCTGGAAACCCTGCGCTTCTCCTCCGATGTTAATTATCTCTGCACGGCAGAGGAGAAACGAGAAGGGCGCGATCGCCATACGCTGCACGGCTGCCTCCGGTGCCCGCGGAGAGCGAGGAGTGTTCAGGTCCCCCGGGGCTCAGCCAGCTTGTGGTTCGCGGGATCTCTTGCTCCGCGACGCCTCCACGACTGTAACGGAGCGAACTCGCGGTGTGGGAAGCAATCCCTAGCGCAGATGGGAAGTATTAACCGCTCCCCCCGCCCCGTTCATTGGTGTGTCGTGCACGGGGATGAGGACAGCGATGGGGCCGATGAGCACGGGAACGTTACTTCCCTGCGCGAGGTTTTTCTGACGCTTTGGGTGTCCCAATTCTCTCGGGAATTTACCACCCCTTGGAGTGCAAAGACCAGATTAGGCTGGGACTGAGGCCTCGAGCGGCAGTGGTACGTGCCGCGAGGCTTTTCAGGATCACTTCTTTTCCATCCCGTTGCCCTGCATCTCGGTAGCCAAGCGCTCCACAACCGAGCTCTGTCCCAGGGAAGCAGCGGTACTTGCTAAAAGCGAGGAGAATCGAGAGTGTTTCGTGCTCACAAGGTTTTGCTGTCAAGGGTGTTTGGAACATCCAAGGCCAGGTTGGACGGGGCCCTGGACAACCTCAAAAGGTCCCTTCCAACCCAACCCACCCCATCCCACGGTTCTGTGGTTCTAAGGGGCCACGAGCGTGGGAAGAGAGGTGGGTGGTTGCAGTGGGGAAGCTTTTTAAACCACGACTCGTTGCCCTTCCCTCTGCAAGGAGCAAAATGAACAGAGAGACACCAGATACTGCAAAACAGGTGTATTTTGAAAATTGACCCAGATACAGCTCGCACGTATCGCACGAATCACACGCAGGTGAATACTAGAAAAGACAGAAATACCTGTGCGCGTACTTCGTAAATCCAAGTATTTATATGTCATCTATAAAATCGTCGGAGCGGAAAACAGCTGTGATCCAGAACAGAAATTTCACACACAAAACCGCATGAATGTCCCCCTCAGACCCGGCCTTTCTTGGGACTGATTCCACCCCACAAGCTTCGACGCTCAGCTCGCTCTCAAGTCTCTTCCCCCTCATTTTGGTCCCGTCCACCGCGACGTGGCACCCCCACAGGGCTCCAGCTCCGCCGTGTCACAAAGAAAAAGTTATTTTAAAGATGTTTTAAAGCGTGATGGCAACGTTTCTGTGGTGTGCGGGCACTGAGGAGGGGACCCGGGGTGTTGGTGGCCGGAGCTGAGTGCTCCCCAACGGGCACGTGTCCCGCTGAAAAGGCTCGAAGCTGTTTGCGTGCACAAAGCCTGATGGAAAACAGTTTGTCCAGCCTGGGGGAAAACAAACAAACTAAAACCAGTTAAAATTTCCTCTCCTGCAGACTACCGACCTGGTTTTAAAATTGCATGGCTCTCCGACGTGCACGCCTCCCGCTCCTCAGGCAGAACGCCCAAATCCAGTTTTGGCAGCTCGGGTTATCTTTATCCGAGCGGTCAACCGATGGCAAAGCACCCCCTTCACGCTCTTCATTTTTCTTGCCGCCGCGCAGACAGAGCGTACGAGGATCAAAAGCCGCCTCCTGCTGCACGTTGTGCCAGGAAAGGCCCCGGGGCCAGGCCGGCCGCTCCGCCGTCACAGCGCGTCACGTTCTGGCCGAGCAGCCCAGGCTCACCGCTGCACTGCCCAGCGGCTCATCGGTCCCGCAGCACATCGGGATTTTTTTTTTCTTAACGAAGAAGCCCGTCA